CTGGAGCAGCCCCTGCCCACAGCATGGGGCCACTCCAGCCCAGCCATGGCAGTCCAGGGGTTGCACACCCCCATTTAATCAATTAACTTATTAAACTTACACTTTATATCCCTATTATGTATTGGGAATTTAGTGTATAAGGAGTGGCATAGAAAAAACCCCAGGAAGATGCCTATTTTTCCCACCTCTATTTTTAACTTTCTTTTCTTTTTCTCAAGAAATTAGGAAAATCATTTATTTGGTTTATAAAAATCTCAAGTACCAATCAAAGAGATAACACCTTTTCAAGGGTATAAGAATATTCTTTTATCTGTTTCAAAACTGGTAGGATAATTGTCACCATCATCAGAGGGATGATCAGTGCATTAGTTGGCTCATGTTTTGTAAATTACTGTGAAAATCTAGCTTGTTCTATATAGTGCATCATTATCATTCTATTGTTTGCTGTTAGAGCTGTTCTTGTTAACAAACAGTGTGTGTAACCTTTTCTTGCTTCTATTTCCAGCAAAGAGCTCCAGGGAAAGTTTTGCTGGATGCCGTTTGCAGCCATCTAAATCTTGTTGAAGGTGATTATTTTGGCCTGGAGTTTCCAGATCATAAAAAGATCATGGTATGTGAATAAGTTTCATTTCTTACTTATTGTCATCTATGCATTTCATATACATTGAAGCCCATCCTTCCCCCTCTTCCCCACCTCACATTCAGAGAGCATTTTAAAACATGGCTTTATTAAAGGTTTCATCAGGTTTTGCTCGCTAGTGATGATATAGAACTGTGTTTAAAAACTCATCTTGAACCCTGTTCCTCATTTATGTATGTTGAAGGTAGGAGTGGTGTTGTGACCATAGTAGCTGTTGATATGGAGACTAAATACCATTTGAATTCCCCAATTGGTTTGGATGGTGATAATGGTAAAATCCTTCCTGGCAGATGGGAAAAGTCACCACGAACACAGTTCCATAAAAGACACCTTTTTTTATTCAAAAGGGATGGGGGGAGGGGGAGTCACTATTTTTGGTTTATTACATTTGCTATTTTTTTTCTTTTAGTCAGTGATAAAAATCCTATTCAGGGAGTTCTGTGGGTGCTTGGTATGTCAGGACCGGGGTGCTTGGTATGTCATCTTGGTCTCTGAAAATAAATGCTGCAGACAAATAATGCATCATAATATCTTTGCCCCAGTCTATTATATAGAGAAAGTGTATTAATAGAGTCACACGAGTTTTCATTTTAGAAATTCCATTTTGCTTTAAATCTTAATGCAGTGGTCTCCAACCTTTTTACACTAAAGATCATTTTTTTAAATGTCAGAACAAGCCAAGATCTACTTCCCAATCCTTCCCCCAAAACCCCACCCCTTTCTTGAAGCCCCGCTCTCTCTATTCTCCTCCTCTCCATCACTTGCTATCCCCAGCCTTTATACATTCTACACTGCCAGTTTTTTTTCGATTCTTCTCTAGGAAGAGGTTTTTCCAACATTTGGCCTGTCTAGACTGGACCAAATGTCAGAAAAAATCCTTCTTTCGGAAGCCCCCTTATTCCTCCTGGAAAGAGGAATACAGGGGTTACGGAAAGAGAATGTTTGCTCTTCCACAAAAAAAGAAGAAGAACAAACGTGTCACTAGACGTGGAAGAGTTTTTCCTGGAATCCTGGAAAAACTCCTATAGTTTAGCCATACCCTCACTGGGTTGAGACAGGATGTGTGGGCTCTGGGGTAGGAATGAGGGATTTGGGTGTGGGAAGGGTGCAAGCTCTGGGAGGAAATTTGGATGCAGGAGGAGGTGGATAAGGGAACACTAGCTCAGGGAGAGGGCTCCAGGCTGGGAGTGTTGGGGTCAGATGGAGGGTTGG